TTGTACATGCTGCCAAGGTCAAGTTGGGCAATTATCATAATTTTTCAGCTTTTTGAGTTGCGCTTATTTGGCTAAAAGCGAAGCTGGCGAAGCCTTGTTAATGGCACTTAGCTCAGCTCAGCTCGGTTCCGCTTGGCGCGGCGAGTAGCTGCGTTGTAACTGGAGTAAACGTGCCTTTAATTTAATTTTAGTTTATTGGCCGTTGTTGTTTTATTTCACATATTTTTTAAGTGAATTACTTTTAATAATTTCATATGATAATGAGCTTGAATTTTGTATAATTTTTTTTTTTTTTTTTTTTGTAAATATTTTTTTGATATATTTTTTTTTTTTTTTCATCATCGCTGCCCGTGATATATTAAAAAATTTTTTTTTTTATTTTTGTTTGACTTAAGGTTAACAAGAAACAAGCAACAACAATAGCAACAACAACAACAACGRCAGAAGGCAGCTATAATTAATCACATACAAAATCAACAAGATCCACAAATTTATACAACACATATGTGTGTACGGATATTAGTTCGTTCTCTCCGCTGCTCAGATGACGATGGGGGAAATTGAAGTCTGAACTAATCCAATCAGCTGCAATATGAATACCCTATAATATAGAGAAATATATCTCTTGAGCAATAATTTTCGCTAGGTTATTCATTTAACATATGTGAGTCAGTCCACCCATTCTCAATTACAGGGTAGCTCTTTGCTGTTCACACTCTTCTTTTCACTTTAAGCTCTTCAGAGTATTCGGTACTTTTTTGTAGACAAAACTGCGCTCAAAATATACCAACTAATTAAAATAAATTGGCTGCAGCTGAACTCATCAATATGCCAACTGGGCGAGGAGGAGTGCTAGAGCAGGGGGTGGGAGAGGAGGAGGAGAGGCGCGTGTTGATCAGATCAGGTGTTTGACAAATTGCGATGCTGCCTCTTTGTTCTACACACACAGCCCGAGCAGACGGCTTTATACGTCGCTCGCACATTGTTTTCACGTATTTGTTGCATAATTTATAACACTTTCACTTAATAGCCACACTAATTGTGGCTGGAACATGTTGTTAGCAGCGATCAGAGATTGGCTTTTGTTTGAGCTTGTTACTGTTGTTGTTGTTGTTGGTTTGTGAGCATTATGCAATGGGCAGAGCTAATAAATTTGTATACGAAAACCTGTACCCAAATTAGTGGGTCGCCTGATCAAATGGTCTGCTTATAATGAAGTCATTCGATAAATATGAACATGAAACATGATATGATGGTGATTCTCGAACGGTGGCGTTAAATGTGCTTTTTAAGACCCTTGATTATTCACAAATAGATAGAATTAAATGGGGTGACAGATATTATAGGCGGACATTTAAAAATCATCTTATCTCCTCTCTTGTTTCTATTCGGACTTCCTTAAAAGCCAATTAGTTAATTATTAGCTCGATAGCTGTGAAGAGTTCTGTTAAGTCTCGAAGCGAACTGCTTCAACGCTGACCTTTTGCATATTGTCTCGCAATATCTATCATCATCTCTTTCGATGTCTCTCGGTTTGCTCAACCTTAATATATATCTCTCAGTCTGTACTGTTTCTGTCTAGCTCTCTATTTTAGTATATCTATACACATCTCTATCCCCCTTCCTCTCCTTCCTTTGATTTTTTTTACACTTTTCTCACCCTTTTTCTCTTCTCTTTTATTATCTCATTCCCCTTCGCTTCTCACTAAACCGGCTTTCTCTTTTTCTCTATATTTCTTTTTATATCCCTATATCTCTCAATCTTCCTATATATCTCACTCTCACTCTATCTCCCACTATCTCTATCCCTGTATCACTCTGTCTCCCTCTCTCACTTTTTCTCTATCTCTGTGTCCAAGTGTGCCGCCCTCTCTTTCTCTTTATATTATTTCTATCTCTCTCTCCCTCTCTCTCATTTCTTCTTTGCCTATCATTCCTTTTCTTCATTTCCCCTTTTCTTTCTCTCACTTTCTCTCTCTGTCTGTATATATTCCTCTCTCTCATTCTGTCTACATATATATCGCTCCCTCTCTCTCTCTTTCTTCCCTTATCTTCGCCCTAATCTGCCACCTGTTTAAACTAGTAAACATGAATCAACTCTCATTTAATGAGGCTAAAATGGAAATTGGGATTTTAAATGAGCTCGCAAATCATTTGCTGGCACTTTAAATAAATTCAAACACAGCTCCAAACAAGTTCAACAACAGCAGCTGAGTGAATCTGGTAACCTGTACCGATGCTACACTCAAATTATCGTGTGTGCTAAAACATATAGTATATACTGTAAATATGTATACATATATATTATATGTAGGAATATATTTTTCATTTAGCTTAACGAGCTGCTGCTAAAAGCTAGAACTAAGCAATATTCTGTTTGCCCTCTCTCAATAACTCCCCCTCTCTCTCTCCCTTCCTCTATCTCTTTTCCTCTCACTGACTTAGCTGGTGTCACTTGTCTGTTGTAAAATAAATGTTTATCGCTTTTTAATATTGCACATTGTCTGCATAAATTTCACGGCAGGCGCAGACGCACGGACAGACAGACGGACAGATCGCAGCATCAGCAACTTTGTTATTATTCTCGCTGTATTTTTTCACATTTTCTTCCTCTTTATATTACTTTTTTTTTTTTTTTTTGTTTTTTTGGTGTGATTTAAAATCAAACTAAATCTGCTGCCATTTTTTTGGTTGTTGAAACTTGAAACTCATAATTTTTAATTTATTTTATGTGATTTTTATTTGTCGATTAATCCAAGCAACAACAAGAGCCGCAGCCGAGCCGACGACGCTTTATGAAACCTAAACGTACAAAATTTATTTCCTACCCGGTCGGAACAAATGGCTGGCCTCCGGACAGTCAGCCGGACGGCAGGCCCGCCGGCCGGCCGGTCGGAGCTGCGGCGGCTGGGGAGCCAAACTCAACACATAACACGAAATCAGATTAGCATGTTTTACAGGCCGAACAAGCCAAGGAACTGAGCGAACTAAGCCAATTGGTGTGGTGCATTCTTTCCGATATCTGCCTCACTCCCTACTCCCCATTCGCCCCACTCGCCCCACTCTGGTCCCACTTCCCCCTCAGACAGTCTGGCCAAGTTCGTAGGTTGGGATGCTGGCCAAAAGTGAATGTGTTGAGTGCTTTCTCTACTTTGTAATGTGCCAATTGTTTGGACAGATGGGAAAAATTATTGCCGCGAATTGACAGTGGGGCAATTGGTGCTATAAAACATAAATCCCCCAGCCAAAATGTGAACTGCACTCAACGTCGAGCCGACTGCGCATGTGCAAGCACCTGCTGCAGCCACCTGAAACAATTTCGCTTTAATGAGAGCCACTAAAGATACTAGATCTGGCGATCCTTGAGCTGCAATTGTTATTGCGCTCATAATTGTATTATTTATGGCAAATTGCTCTGAATAAATTTTACATTGGTGAATGGCTCGAAATGAAGACCGGAATGGAAGCTGCTTGGCAGCCATATGATATAGTGATTGGATTTAGCTGAGATCCTAATCTTATGGATTTTATATTTTATATAGATATATCTTTGAGATTAAATTACCTTAGATCCTTTTCATTAATATTTTATTTTTATGTAAAGATTTTTTTGGGAATATATTTCATAAATTATTTGAGAAAAAATTTTTTTTATTAGTTAGACTTTGAGTTTTTTTTCCACATTTTATTTAAATACATCTTTGACAAAATTTTTTTTTATTTTAATTTTGTTTTATTTTTATATATAATATATCGTTATACGTTGTATTAGTTCTTATATTATCATATTTTGTATATTTTTATATGCAGAATTAAAATAAGAACAGAGTTAATATGGGAGGTAAATGCTCTCTCATATACTCCTAAAATATGATAGTTCTCTTTGGCTGCAGCTGACATGACCTATCTTCAGGCATATATGCATGAACGTATTTGCCTGTCACATAAGCCCAGAGTCAACCATATAGAGCATATCTGTTTGCCTTATGACCTTCTCCTACTCCACACAGACTTCCTTCTTCAAGTCTCCCACGAATCATGCCCCAGCTTTGCGTGTGTGCGTGTCAACAGAGTTTTGCTCCAGTTAAAGCTACAAGTGCAGCGAGCCAAAAACAAAAACCAAAAAACGCAACGAAGCCGCCAAGCCCCAAAACCAAATAAAGCTGGCAACGTAACAACAACAGCAACAACAACAACAACAACAGTAACAACAATGATGGCAATTTGTTGATAAACATTTCGCTCGCAATAAATAAACAAATATACGAGTGGTGTACCTTGGCAACAAGTTGCTAAGGTCTATGGCGCGAGACAGTTCAAAGGAAACAAGAGGCGCGATTGGTAACAGCGAAACAGGCAACAGGCAACGGCCACAGAGTCACAGCCGCAGTCGCAGTCAACATGGCCAACAGCCAACTGGCCATATAAATGCAAATGCTCTACACGCTGCTTGTTTGCTCGCCCAGCTACGATGTTGGCTGTGTGCTCTGGGGCAATTTTTCATTTGATTTCATCTTCATATTTTATTATGCCCCAGCAAGCGGCAGCATCCAGCGCTTTGTGCCACAACATCGTCCATTTCCATTTCCAATTGCCGTATGGCTGGTTTTTCCATAGCTTTTCTTCTTCTTCTGCTGATCCTTCTACTTCGTCTTGATACCAATTTTGCGATATGACAAACTATGTTTGCATTTTAATTTTTAATGCGTGTGAATTTCGCTGGCGGCGCACTTGCTCTCAGTTCTCTCTCTCGCTCTCCCCCTCCCCCCTCTCTCTCTCTCTCYCTCTCTCTCTCTCTCTCTTTATTCTGGCTAGATGCTCGTGTCATGATTTGCTGTTGCTTTTAATTGAAATTTTATGAATTTATTGCTTTCGTTTTTTTTCCTTTGCTTTTTCTTCTTGCACGCAAGTGTGAAAGAGACAACACTAGTCTAGGAGCAGATTTAGAACACGCCAGCCAATGTCTTATAAATGTTATTGTCTGCTCCGTTTCTTTTCAGATGAATCAGACGTGCAAGGTCTGTGGCGAGCCGGCAGCTGGATTTCATTTTGGGGCATTCACATGCGAGGGATGTAAGGTGAGTAAAGGCTTGATATAATTTAAAGTTATCGATAATTGTAGGTTGAACATATTAATTGCATGTGTGCGACTAGTGCTCGGGATTGTGTGTATCAATTTATGAAATAAACTAAATGACAGCTATGTTATCGATCGTCTTATCGATACTTATCGTTAGAGCTTATTCAGATTGATATGTATTTATGAATATAATACTGTATTCTGTGTTTATGTTGTCAAACTAGCTTATTGACTATATATCGACTTTTGTTATCGATAAAATTTAACACATGTATTATTATCGATTAGTGTAATCGATTGCATGTGCCATAAATGACTTGCTCTCGATATTCGACAGCTAACAATAGTTTCACTAGTCATTTGTCCAAATCGATGTCATTATGTTATCGATAGACCCTATTATGCCAATTACGGATTATTTAGTGAAAGATGCTACAGAGTCTAATTGGATAGCATAAAATGCGAATAATTTTCCATGAACTTAATAATAGTAATCGACACTCGGCGCCTCCCTGCCAATATGAATAATAGTTATCGATCGCTATTGGCATTCCATAATAAATCGCTGGCCGCATCGTGACAAAGCCGTAGAGTAAATGGTGCCATACCAAAACTGGAATGTTGAGTTCATTACGAGCAATATTAACCGAGTACCACCAGCAACAGCAACAGCAATAGCAACAACAACAACAATAGCAACAACAACAACAATAAGATAAACGACAACAAAGAATGCCTCAGGCTAAGGTCAAAGTTAAAAAAAAAGAGCGCTCCACAAAATGCATAATTGATTTAAACACGAGTACTTTAAATGCCTTAGGAATACGCTGCACTCGTCGCAGGAGACGAGCGAGGGCGGGGGCGGTGTCGGATCGAGGTTTTCTCTCGTGTTGTTTGGCTGGGAGAACGAAAAGGAAAAAAAAAGGTCAACTAACGTACAATTTGTGGGTCAGCATTATTTGATTTGTGCGCCATGGCGTGGGCCGGCTAATTTGACGCCCACCCCAAATCAAAAGGCCCCAAAACGAAACGAAGCGCGTCGCTTGAATGATGATGCAGCACTAGGCTAACAGCCATGAGCCGCCGATGATTGAGAATCGCAAAGAGAGGGGGGCGGAAAAGATGGGGAGAGGGGCGCGCAGACAGAAAACAAACAAAAGTGAATCCGCTTTGGCGCACAAAATTGCCTGTAAATAGCCGGCGCGGTAAGTTCGTCCGGTTCTGCTGCTGCTGCTGCCGCTGCTGTTGCTGCCACTGCTGCTGCCGCTGCTGTTGCCGCTGCTCTTTCAAACGAAACTGAAACTGAAAACGCAGAGCCGAAAGAAGCGCACAGAAAACAGAAAATAAATAAACATAGCCATACGAAGATCCCCCCCGTCCGTCCGTTCGTCCGTCCGTTCGCAACTCTCATTTCCATTTCCGACCCAGTAATCTTGATGCCCAATTAACCTTAAAAGTGGATTTTCGCATTGTTTTTTCTGTTTCGATTTGCGCGTCTGCACGGCAACAACAACAAAAACAACAACTACAACTGCAACTGTAACTTCGTCTTCGACTCGAGCTCCACCTACGACAACCACTGACTGAATACTGACAGAGCTGACTGTCTGTCTCGTCTCCCTCGTCTGTCTGTCTCTCTCGTCCGTCTGTCTTTTGTCCGTACGCCAACTTGATTGCGACGCTCCGCTGTGATTTACGTTCAACATTGCAACTTGGCATAAGTGTTGCACAGCCTATAACCTTTGCAACATGCTGCTTGCCACAGCAACAGCAACAGCAACAACAACAACAGCAACAGCAACGTCAACGGCAACATGTTGTAGTCTTTTTCGTGCCGCATTGAATTAAATTGTTTGTTTGCTTTGTTGCAATTGATTGTGGCCCAGCCAACGGTTAATGCTGCACTCGTAGGTGTAGGTGGCTGCGGCTCTGACTCTGGCTCTGGCCTGTGGATCATGTTCATGTTGCATGTCGATTCGCTGCGCTTTTTACTCAGTTTTTTTGGCAGTGCATTTAAGACTGCACAACAACAACAACAACAACAGCAGCAGCAGCAGCCGGTGATGAATCATCATAAAAATTTAATGAGATATTACTGCTGAATGACATCACGGCTTAAGGGCGATGAAAAAGCTCTGAGAAAGAGAGATAGATAGAGAAAGAGAGAGAGAGTGAGCTTGTAGTTTGATGAAGAGTTGACTTGACTATGCTCAACTAGATGATACCCTATCTATGATATTGAAATGCAATAGCTATAATAAACTTTCTTATATGAGGAAGCTCTGAGACAATGAGAAAGAGAGAAAGAGAGAGATAGAAAGAGTGAGAGTGTGAGAGAGAGTAAGAAACAATCAGCATCAGTAATACTTGTAATCTAAATGAATGATCTACCATGTCAGAGAATAATATGAGCTTTTATTTCCTATGATAGTTAAAGGGTATAACCAATACTTGGAGGCCTTATAAATGGGTAGATACCCAGTACGAGCTATACAAATATAGAGCAAAAGCTATGGTGATATGATATTCTCTTCTATCATTTAATAAATTAAGGGTAAATCAAAAAATCTGTATTACTGTATATATAAGAAACGATACCCCCTGCATAGTCTAGTCTAAGAGCAACGACTACGTTGATCTGACACTTTCAACGCAGAGGCCCTCATTCCTTTATATAACACAGCCCAGGGTATCAGCAATACTTGAGCTCCTTCTGGGTATTTGCAGTAGGAAAGCAAATAAGAGTTGAGTGAGTTTAAAGTAAAGCAACAGTTGATCAAGCAGCAAACAAATAGATCAGTGACTGGAAGAGGTAGAAATGGCAAAGGGAACTGAAGAGAGCTCAAGTTGTCGTTGAGCTGCTCGAGAATGAAACAAACATGGAATGAAACAGATAGTTAAGAGCTCTTCGCTCTGCTCCCATTACTAATCCACGTTTCCACTCCGCTCTCTACTTTGCAGTCCTTCTTCGGTCGCTCGTACAACAATCTGTCCTCCATATCGGACTGTAAAAACAACGGCGAGTGCATCATCAACAAAAAGAACCGCACGGCCTGCAAGGCGTGCCGCCTGAAGAAGTGCCTCATGGTGGGCATGTCGAAGAGCGGCTCGCGGTATGGCCGCCGCTCCAATTGGTTCAAGATCCACTGCCTGCTGCAGGAGCAGCAGCAGCAGGCGGTGGCTGCCATGGCAGCGCACCACAACAGCCAGCAGGCGGGCACGGCGGGCAACGCGGCCATCGGTGGCGCCTCCAATGGCTGTGTGAAGCCGGGCGGGCCGGCGTCCTCGGCAGCGGCTGCGGCGCTGGGCATGCTGGGGCATGCGACGGGCGGCTATCCGGGCCTGTACGCAACGGGACCGCCGCGCAGCAAGGAGGAGCTGATGATGCTGGGCCTGGATGCCAGCGGCGATTATGGCGGCATCAAGCATCCAGCGCTCGTCGCCTCGCCGTCGGTCAGCTCGCCGGACTCCCACAACTCGGACAGCTCCGTGGAGGTGAGCAGCGTGCGGGGCAACTCGCTGCTGCAGCTGCAGGGCGCGGGCAAGCAGAGCGCCGGCGGCGATGCCAGCCAAGCGGCGCAGGGCGGCACAGCGCCCGGGCGACCGCCACAGCTGCGCAAGGAGCTGGCGCCGTTTTTGCCATTGCCGTTCCCGGGTCTCGGCTCGATGCCCGTGATGCCACCGCCCGCCTTTCTGCCGCCCTCACATCTGCTCTTTCCCGGCTACCATCCTGCGCTCTACTCCCATCACCAGGGCCTGCTGAAGCCCACGCCCGAGCAGCAGCAGGCGGTGGTGGCTGCTGCGGCGGTGCAGCACTTGTTCAACTCGAGCAATGCGAGCGGGCAGCGCTTTGCGCCCCAGCTGCACGCCTCGGCGCCCTTTGGCCACGCCGGCCTCAAAGAGGAGTCCGCTCTCAGTCCCAACCACAGCAGCAGCAACAACAACAACAATTTACTGCCCAATGGCAGCAGAACAGCGACGAGTGCTGCGGACGAGCTGACGAAGCGCTTCTACCTGGATGCAGTGCTCAAGTCGCAGCAGCACAGTCCGCCTCCGCTGGCGACAAAGCTGCCGCCGCACAGCAAGCAGGACTACTCCATATCAGCGCTGGTCACGCCCAACTCGGAGAGCGGGCGGGAGCGCGTGAAGAGCAGGCAGAGCAACGGTGAGGCGGACGAGGAGGAGCGCGGAACGGGCAGAGGCAGCGACAAGGCGGCCGACGAGGAACTGGAACTGGAACTGGAGCCGGAGGACGAGGAAGAGGATGAGGAGGATCTGGTGGTATCCATGACGCCGCCACGTTCGCCAGCCCAGCAGCAGTCGGAGCAACTGGCGGACGGGCAAGCCGCAGCGCAGGACAATCCCATTGACTTGAGCATGAAGACCACGGGCAGCTCCGGCTCCAGCTCCCGGAGTTGCAGCAGTATTAAGAGCAGCTGCGCGCAGCTCGATGCAGCGAACTGCAGCGATAATGAGCCAGCTGCTGAGAGGGAGCCAGCTGAGGATGGGGTGCTCCAAGCCAGAGCCCTCGACGAGGAGGACGCCGATGAGCGGGAGTCCACGCAAGCTGAGCTCGAGGATAACAGCACCACGGAGACGGTCAAGACCAGCATAGAGCAAACCCAAAACATGAACAACAACAACAACAATAACAATACTAACAACAACAATAACAACAACAACAACAACAATAGCAACACCAGTGATAATGAGGCCAACGATAGCATCAAACGCAAGCTGAACGAGCTGCTGCAGGAGTCGAACGGCTCGAAGCGTTTGCGCCTCAGCTCCCCACCCGCAGCCGAATTGCCCGTGAAGTTGGCCACCTCGACAGCCCTCGATTTAACCAACAAGGTTTGATCGATAAGCGCGCAAAGTTAGACAAAATGGCGACAGTTTGCCGCTAGGCGTAACACTATGCAACAAAATATGGGCGCGAATATAGAAGAGATTTCCATTGATGTTAAAATTTAAATTTCACTGAGTTAATTTACAAATTTCTATTCAAACTTGCATTTCTTTTTTATTATTNTGTTATTGTTTTTATGTGTATTTTAATTTTTATTTGCATTTGAAGATGTTATCACATCGTTTAAAACAACTAACGAAATGGCAAGAATTGTGAACAAATTAGCATATGTTCGATCTGAAAAGAAGTATAGCAAACGGCGCGAGTCGAGTTCTTAATTAGATGCAAGGCATTAACAGAGAAGAAGAAGAAGCACAACAAATTTGAAATGTTGCGCGTATTTCGGAACTTGTCATCGTTCCGAAATACGCGCAACATTGAAATCGTATCGAATCGAAACGAGATCAGATTCAGGTTGTTGCAAAATTATGCAAAAAAAAAAAAAAAAAAAAAAAAAAAACACACACACACAAATAAAATAAAATAAAAAGACAATCTGTATCGCTTGCATAATGAATAGTGGAATTTGTTAATTTATAAGCCAAGTTTTAAGTTATATCTCTAGCATAATATAGTTATAATACAAATATATATACACCTATAATACATATGAATACCTAAAATTTCTTTAATAGGCATATGCAAATTATTTCAAGTATTTCTTAGTTTACAAATTGTAATTTTTAAATTCTATAAACAAATATATATATATATACTACATATTTACTGTACGATGATAGCGAATTTCAACTTCGAGTTATTAGTCACAATTAGCAAATTTGTATGTTTAGCCTTTGCCCTTATACTACGTTAAATAAATCAAATGTAGAGCAACAACAACAACAACATGTATAGCATAATTTATAATAATTATCTAAACTATTTGTATCAGATGTTTTTTTCATGTGGAGCGCATGGGAAATATTGACGATATTAAATAAACACAAATAAATATTTCGATGAACGACTTTGATGGGCATTTCGATGGGTTTACTGGGCGCGTTAGGGCCATGAGAAATTGGGTTAAAGACAACATCAATATGCGCGCCTCAAGCTTAACATATTTATCGTTATAAATGCTGCGAGCAGGGAAAACATTTAGAGCAATGGGCTGCCTAAGAGAAAGTGGATCATAAAGCTAAACGATATGGAAAAGTTGGTTGTATTTATTATTAAAATATTAAAATGATATAACAAAATCAATTTATGATGAGTTTAAATTTAGCGCGAGATATGCACGGGGAAGTACACAGAGATAAGCTAAGGAAATAGAGAAATATAATAATATGGCTGGCATTTATTTATAATAATTTATTTAAATAAATTGCTATAGCTTTATCATTGGGGCTTGTCAATAAATTGACTAAAATCTGAATTAATTTTCTATGTTGCACTGTTGCATCAGATGAGTTGCTTAAACTAAAAATTAAGCAGGGAACCTATACTGCTGCTACTCCTGCTGCTGCTGCTGCTGCTCCTGCTGCTCCTGCTGCTCTTGCTTTTATCTGAGAATCAGTCCCCAGACACTCGTCGGCAAGTGCAAACTGCAGTTCAGCGAAAACAATTCCCACACAAAGCAGCAAGCGGATCTTTTTCTCAGAGCCGAACAGCTTCAGCTGTGTCAATGTGCATACCAAGAGAGCCAATCAATCCGAAATCTATTTCAATCAATCTTTGCGTAATTGTAAATACTTTCAACATATTTCGCTTTGCCATTGGCAACGACTGACAGTCGAGACGGCGACGAGTCGACGGCAAATGGCGCGAAAATTATAGCAAATGCTTCACAGAGAGAGAGAGAGACAGAGAGAGAGATAGAGGGAGAGAATGTCGGTTAGCTTGTTGGGTGCGGGGCATAGGCTATAAGACCTGAATTCGTTTCTATTTATTTCACACTTGAATTGATGCGCTGCTGCAGATTGACATTTTGCAAATGCTGAGCTTGCTCGACTCTTGGTTAGCTGCCTTTTCCAAGCAATTGCCAGCAGAGACGCAGACGGAGACGCAGATGGAGACAGACAGAAGCTGCCTCTGGGGCGCATTGGGTGCAGGCTTGGCCATCGCCGTCGTAGACGCGACGAGCTTGACGAGTTGACGCGCCGAGCGCAAGAGATCTAGTCAGCCGCTGGGGCACTGCTTCCACCTCTTCTTCCTCCTTGCCTCTTTTCCTTCTCTTTGGTGGGGCGTCCCTTGGCGCATTGTCAGCACTGAATAGTAGTGCAAATAAATTTCAATTGCGAGACACATTCTCCCACTGACATTGTTTGACACCTTGACTGCACACACACACACACAAACATACACACGGTGAATTTGCATGTAAATGACAGTTAAAGAGAGTGTGAGAGGGCGGGGGGAGAGCGAGGGGTGAGCAGTATTTGATCTGCAAAGATTGGCCAACACCCAGCGGCGTTTTTTGCTAACAAGCTGGCAAAAAGCAGTTAAGCGACGTCTTCTATAGACGACGCGACGTTGATGACGAAGACGACGCACCCAGCTACCAGTTGATAGTCTGTTTGGTGCGATCCCTAGCTCTGGCTCTAGCTCTGGCTCTACTCCATTTATATGCTCCAAATCCATTAAGTGTTTTAGCGCTTTTATTTGCTGCCCACACACACAGAGAGTGAGACAGAGAGGGGGGAGAGGGAGACAGATGCTGACTACACCCTAAACCCATGGAACACTTTCCGCACCTACGACAACAACAACAACAACAACAACATCTACATCGACGAGCTGTGACACCAACGCCAACGGAGAGTGGAACTCCCAGGTTGCTTTGGCTCTACACGCATGAGTGTGGCTGCCGCTCCAAGCCCCAGTTTGGAAGCGAGCTGTGTGCCAATATTAACACCTAGCTGCAAAAACCATGAACTGTTCCGCAGCTCGAGCTGAGCAGCTCGTTGATGCGCTGAAAGCCCCTGCCTGGAGTCTGAGCGACTACTCTGAATGCATTTCAACGAGCGCTGGCAACTGGTACTTCCATTGAATAATGTAATCAACACGCCCACACGGACAACGCCCAGGCAATTGAGCCGCTCTCTGGCCCCACTGATGCTCATATGAAATCAAGTTTACTCTTAACTGGGTTAAGAGTTGTGCAATCCGGAACGGAAACTGTTGCTCGAAACTGGAGTAAATCAAAGGAAAATGCATGAAAATGTGAGGAAAGGCAAGAGAGCTATAACTAGACATGAAATGGAAATTGGATTGTAGAGARTTAGTTCTGAGATCTTTGATCTTATATATGGTAAATCATAATTGAATGTTTATCTATATATATTATTATATGTATAAAAAAATATGTAAATATTAATAAATTTTCATTTATTTCATAGCAATCTCACATTTAATAAATATTTATCCAGCAACATTTGTCTATACATATAAATCCATTCTCATATCATCGAATCTAATCCCTATTATCTTTTTCTGAACTTTCAACTGTCAGAATGGAATTCCTGAACGCTTCGCTGCTCTCTCTATATTTCATTATATATAGACTATCATAGTTTTAATTATGATAATTTCTTAAATGGTGTGATTAAAATAACGATAAGAATTAAAAAAATGGGACCAAGACGTGTGTATTGTGTCACAAAAAAATATCAAGTAGCCGCACTCGGCATTTACATATTGATCACATTAGCTGAAAACCCGATTAGATAGTGAAAGAGAGGGAGCAAGAGAGGGAGAAAGAGAAGGAGAAAGAGAGGGAGAGAGAGAGAGTGAGAGATGCTGAGCAGTTCTTTAGGCGTTTCCCAGCCGTAATCGAAGACAGGGGCAGAAATCAACAAAAGGCCCAGACAGAGATGAAGCTGAAGCTGAAGCTGATGCTGATGGAGATGAGAGACTGTGAGGCGATGTGGCTAAAGCCGCAGCCCAAATGCCGCTAAGTGCCAAAATGACAAGCATAGCAAAACGTTGTGGGGGGTGGGGAGGGGTATGCGGTGGGTTAGTGGTGGTGGTGCTGGTGCTGGTGGTGGGAGCCGCTTGGCATGACTTTGCTCAATGCCAGGCGCGCATACCATGGCCACATTAACTACTCCATAAAAGGTGTAAAGAAATCACTTAAGTACTTGTATGTCACTCCTTTGTCAAAGTAAATCATAGTGCGGTACCGTCCGGACGGGTTTTTATAGCCAGTCACACAGCCAACAGGCCAACAAGCAACAGCCAGCAGGCAACAGCCAACAGGCCAACAGGCAACCGGCCCCAAAAAGCCAAAGATAGATAAAGCTACCAACAGCAGCTATAGCGCAGCTCTATCTCAGTCTATCTGTGTGTGTGTGTGTGTATGGGTGTATAAAATATAGGCGTAGAATGCTTTGGGTTATAAAGAATAAACGGGGGAGTTTTATTGACAGCCGCAATTACCACATAATCATGCAACAAATATGATGCTTGGATGGCAGCCCGCTGATGACGTAGCGTTGTCTATGGAGCATGAAGTAGTCAGAGGGAACAACAACAACAACAACAAGAAGAGCCTAACAAAAACGTGCTGATCCATTACGGGTGGCAGGGGGCCACGGATCTGGACAGCGATTGAGAGTGAGGAAGAGGGGGAAGCGAGCGACAATCAGAGCTACAACACCAGCCACATTTTTGTCTAGACTTATTGAGTGATCGTGGCAGGAGCCAAGACAACAACAACAACAACAACAACACCAACAACAACAGCAACAGTGCAAAGGCGCAGCCGTTTTTTTTTAATGGGGTGGCAATCACTTGGACGACGACGAGTCCAACTGCAACACCCAGTCCCGTGGCCAGGCCCCAGCATCAAATTATGGTCAAGTTGTTCGCCAAGCAAAGAGCTGGCAACAGGCGATGCCAGCAGCAGCAGCAGCAGCAGCAGCAGCCTCGTTTTTGTGCTCTGAACTGGGTTGGCAGATACTTAAGAAATATGTTATTAAATAATAATGGAGTGCGTGGTTAATAGATACAACAACAACAACAATAGCAACAACAACAACTGCAGCTGCTGTGGCAGTGTGAAAGAAGTGTGCGGCCCCCTCGGCGC